AGCAATACCTACGAATCAACACTAGTCAAATTCAGTGTTCTTCAGGGAGACAACACAGCACTATGTAGAATTAAGTCTCCATAATTTAGTCAAGTGTGTAAATGACAGTATTAAAAAAAAAAAGTTTTGCTCACTCCTCTGAAATAACCAAAAATGTTTTAATAGGGAAGTAATAAAGCAAATACAAAATCTATTTTCAACCGCTCTTTAGAAGAAGCGATCCCGTATGTATACTGGTGCCTGATTAGATATTACTATTAGAAATCCTTTGTCTGTGAGAAAACCTCAAGTATAAAACTCTTTCCTTTATGTAATTATAATATTGCAGCAACATACTGGAGCAGCATGTAGACAACTTGTGAAAACTGTCTAACTAAACATCAGGTAATTCCAGAAGACAACGAAGCCAGTTTCTGTACTGTTCCACTAAGTAGCTATATCCTCAGGACTTTCGACACTGGCCACTCTGTTTAAGGTTAAAGAAGAACATAAATGTGTCACAGACCAAATAAAAAAGCTTACGAATTTAAAGTTAGATGTACCAAAAAAAGTGTCAATATAAAGAAGTACCCTGGCAACTACAACATGTGTACAGAGAAGGCTGTCTCAAAAGCTAATTGTACCTTCACAGCTTTGCCCGCGACTTATTCGTGCTGTGCATCCCATCAGCTTTCCACATTCTCTAACTTGATTGTGGGAAGGAGCAGCAGACTGGTGGCAACAGCCATGCTCGCTACCTTGTTCGTCTACACACATTAAAGAAAGGGTGACCAGCTCTCTCCCTCCTCTTTGTTTTTTGTTTTGTTTTCTTCCTTAAGCCAGTATACGCAGACAGAGGAGAGATTACTGTCTCCAGAGGAACTGTGGAAAGAGGTGAATTTGTACATACCTCCACAGCTGTGTGACACGACAACAACACATCCTTACTGGTAAGAAACACTGCTGTAACACAAGCAGTGCAGTGCCGTGGTGTCACAATAGTCAATGGCAACTTTCTCTACAGTTTAATTTTACAGAAAGATATTCCCTCTACACGTCCTCCTGAAAGTCAGATCAACACCTAATAAAACTAAGGCGAAAGCCAGAATTTCGAAATGTGATTGGACTGTTCCTCATCTCTAATTGTGTTATTTAAGATCAGATCATAGACAGCATCACGGGTTGCAGCTGGGCAGACACTTCACACAAGAAATAAAACACAATTTTATGGAAGATACGTCACAAAGGCCCTAATCTGAATTTTAGCGACCACAATAGACCTGAAAGAGAGTTTGTTCAACACTGCCTGAATGTAATTGCTGTTACGTATAAGAAGTGTGGAAGTGGACATGCAATTTAGTTTTTCATATATCTGAGGGCACAGTTATTTCTTCCTGTTAACCCAGAAATTACAGGAGTTCTGTGGAAAAGAAGAGAAAAGTCATATATATATATATATAAAAAACAGATTACAAAGCTGATGATTGCTTGATAAAAGGAGCTAATTTCAACATGAGAGAAATTTCACGGGAAGCGAAAGGGCAAGATTGACCTTACATTTTAAATACAGAAACGTGAAGATGCAGTTTTATTAGCACGCTTCCGTAACATCTCTCTCTCATTGAACAACCTATCAGATAAGAAGAATCAAAAAAGCTGTCAAGAGCGTAAGCCTGAAGGTGGTCTGAAACAGACCTGCCTGCATGCCTGAAACTTGAGGCTGAAGGTATTATGTCTCTCTACAGACCTTGAATCCCTTCTCACGCTACAAACAATATAACCTCTGTGTTTAACCAGAAGTACATAATTTACTCCAAATCTCTCTCCATCTGTCCTTGCAACACCTATTAATTGTGGTAGGGTTGCAAGGGTCTGAGTCGGCACAGACTTTGGTCAACTGTATCCATATCCATCCGGTTAAATATGAAAATTGCAGGAAAGCTTGATGAATGAGCACATTGCAGTCAATGGGGCTGCAGCAACATAAACAGGACCCAAAGTTAACCCACCAAATTTAGCGTAATACTGCAATGATATGAAAAAGGTCTTTAAAAAAATCCCAAACAGCTGTATGTTACAAATAATCTTAAGTACTGAAGAAGTCGTCATTTACCCATGCTTAACATAGTGTTGCTTAAGATACTACAGTTATTTCCTGTTCTAAGGATAGAGAAGCACTGTCATAGGTAAGATAAGGACTTTTAACAGCAGTTATTCCTAAGTAAAAGTTAGCTTAGAAAGTCCTTAAAAAAAAAAAATCTGAATACAACTGTTACAGCTAGAAAGTCACAAGTATTTCTAAGTTCTTAAAAAGCTTTTTGGATCTTGTGACTAAAATATTTATGGAAATAATTTTTTCTGTTTTCTGTAATACAATAGCATGTTACAAATCAGCAAGCGCAGAGAAACTGCACCAGTAAAATTCACTATTTAATTGGGCACGAGTGCAGCAACTCCAACAGGGACTCAGTAAGTCAAACAGAACCGGCTCCTGCAGAAAGCACTGCTCCTCCAGAGCGCGGGTGGAGTGGTGGGACTGGACCCAGTGGAGAAAGGGATGAGACACATTCCTTCCGGCAAGTCAGAGGTGTCCCATGTTGGATCATGACAGTTTTTGCCAGCATACTGTGAAAAAGGACCCCACCGCCAGCCCACACCTGAATCCATTTTCTGCTTTTTCACCCAGAGCATAGTGCCAGCCGTTGGAAACCAAGCAAAATACGCAGGTCTGACCTAGCCAGCTACCTTAATTTTAGATCCAGCTCCTGATCTGGCCATCCTGGAAGGACTTTGTTAAGGGGTGAGAGCAAATTACAAGTGGTTGCGTGGGCTACAAAGGAAAGCAACAGACCCACAGATTTGCAAATTTTAAGAGACCAATACTGTTATAAAATGATAACCTTACTCAAAACAACATAATGTGTACAATACTGATAAATATTCTGAACTGTTACAATAAATAGCACACAGTTGTAAAAACAGTAAATAGTTGCATTTTCTATACCGCAGTACAGCAACAGAAAATATTAGCTTCTCAACTCACAACCTGCCATGTGCCACAGCAGGAAATAAAGGTGGCCAGCTAACCTGCCTGTTAGGTACACGTTGAAAAAGTAGTTACGTGGGAGACAGTCAAGGGAAGAGCACCGCGAATGGTATTTTATTGTACAGATGACATATTTTTCTCACGTAAGTAATCTTAATAAAGTTTTAGCACCTGTCAGTTAACAGCATTAACTATTGTGTTAAGATACACTTTTCTTTGTTAAAATTGCCATTTCAAAAAAGGTAGACCTGGACGTACTGAAAGTCTATTGGTACAGTCACTTGAGCAGTGACTCGCCAGGGGCTTATGTTTGGAGGTATCCTTTTAGATCCACCTGTTGGTTTCTCGCTTCTTTGAGGGAAGCTGCTGGTTTTTCAATGGAACATCTTTATCTTGAAGTTTCCAATCATACCTAAGTTAAACATGGGCATTTCTAGGGGAAGATTCAAGTAGAAGTGATCCACTTTAACGATCGGAACATTTTAAAAGGGTAAAGAGATGGCTCTGTAACGTACTAATTTTGTGTAGAAAAATTGTTACTCACATGGGAGCACTAAATGAGAAATGATTTTTTTCAATTTGCGTTCTAGAAACTAAAGCTATCAGCACTACCGGTGAAACCAATACACGGATCTTTTCTGTAAACGATCGATCGTGGTGTCGGACAAGGGTTTTCAGATAGCAAATACATGAATGGAACAGCTAGAGAACGTACAGTACTACTTACTGTATGGACAGCTGGAATTCTTACTAATCTTCGGCTCACCAAAAATATACAAGTTTTAAAATGGAAATCTAAGGCACACAAAATACCATAATGATTTGATGTATACTGTATATTACATAGTCAAGAAGCATAAAACTGCTGGTACAAAACAATGGCGTAATATTGTTTTTGTTTTATTATTATTTACAATCCCTTCATATCCTCTATTTGAACTAATCTTAAGCTTTGAACTAAAATTTGCAGCATACCCGGTTTTTACAAATTTTACTTAAAATAGGTAAGATACAAAGAATGGGTTCAATTCAGCCATCCTCTGCCATCAACATTTTTGTTAATTTCGACAGGAATCTGTAGAATTGAACCCAAGGTCGTTACATAGTGATTGCTACTTCAGACCTTGCTCCTGCAAACACTACACGTGTATATCTTTATACAGGAGAATAGTCTCAGTGACCTACAGCCGCATTTAAGTATTTGTAGCACCAAGGTCCTAACTGGCACTATGTGTTAAAAATACAATTTATGTACTTTTCGTACCGAAACTGTAAATATAGCGCTTACAGTTCAACTTTTCAAGGAGAAAGCACCTTGTCTAGGTTTTAAATAAAGCAGATCTAGATAGTTCATATTCCTCAGTTACAGCACCACTACGTTATAATATTATCAAGTATATTATTAGTATATTTTCGCACTGGAAAACTCTGACCTCGTTATACCTACAGGTTACCCAGCCGGGGAGGACTCCGAGGCAAAATTAAGGTACAGCTTCGTCTCTGGGGCCTGATCCTGCAGCTCTCAGTCACGAGAGGGGTCCTGGTTTGAGCGGTCCTCCTGGCTCTGACTGGGCAGGTATGGCTACGCAGAGCTGTTCTCATGGAAGAAGTTGCAGGATGAGGTCGGTCCTTAGCTAACATTGTCATTTGGTAATTTGTTTAAATAAATAAGTTTAAAAAAGGAATACATAGGAGAGGAGAATCAGAAAGAAGAGTGGGATGCTACAGTATTTAAAAGCGATGGAGTGTCTGCTTTTCCTCTGGTTTAGCAAATATTCATTTCATGATATGTCACTTTTTCAACAGAAATGGAGAACATAAATTTCATATGTTTGGAAGGAAGAATACAACCCTTTCTCTACATGAAATGTATAAATCACTTAAAAAATTTACAAAACATTTTTGTAAAAAAAAACAAACGTAGAAAGCTGGTGAATATTACAGGTGGATTATTCTTAATGAAAAATTTGCTGTTAAATATTAGAAGTTTCCTACTTTTCCAACACTTCCTTTGTATTTTCCCCAATTTTTTTGTTTTCTTTTTTTTTCCAGAATAGAATAAGGCAACTCTAGGGGGTATTTTTTTATCCCAAAACAATCCTACCCCTGAGGCATTAGGAACATTTGGTTGTCATGTTAACTTATAATGCTCCAAACGAATGAGACTTACGCACTTATTGCTCAAAGAAATCATAAATGCTGCCTTTAAAAAACCCAAATAATATTCCTAACTCCCAATAGCAACACACGTATTGACAAGATGTCTCCTAATTTCATGTTTGTACACTCTCTTGAAAATAATAAAATGTTTCTGTATTTCATAACTGTTGTTTATACGCAACATAAAATCTTCGATGAAAAAGGGCAAGTCTAAAAACAATCACATATGCTATTAAGCATACATACTGCAGCTGTAACAATATGGAACTCTACACAGCAAGAATAAAATGATCTCTTCTGTAGAGTATGCACAAACCTTAGACAATATGATCCTTATACTATACTATTTCAAGTTAATTTTAAAAATAGAAAGTGCTTTTAAAATATATATTTACAGCTTAAAAACAACTTCCAGCCATCATTACCAATAACTTCATTTCATACATAATGACAAATCTAGAGAAAAAAATTCATTGGTTTTCTAAAAGATTCAGATGTAATTTGGACTATATAGCAATGGTTGGAAGTTGTTAAAGCAATGGCACCATGAAGTAATAATTCAGCTTATTTATTTTTAACTGTTTGATGTGGTTAAGCACCAAGAGCTGTGTAGAGCTATTACTGTATAACTTGATTTAACACCATAAAATATGAACCTGTTAAAATCCCTATAAATGATTTTTGTAGTAAACAGACTTGATTTAAAGCACCAAAATATAAATTCCTAAAGGTAATAAACTGAATGATTCAATCAAGGTTAATAACCTAAACAAAATCTTTTTTAGAATGTATTAAAACTATACAACTTTTTTTTTTTTTGCTTAAAATGTGCTTGAGCACCACCAAATGTTAAAGTCACAGTTTAAGAAGAAATCCCCCCCCCTTTTTTTACCTCAGCCTTAAAATGGTTGAGATGAGCAAAGAGTAAACGACACGAGACTTGTTCTTTAACAGCACCTTAAAGAAACACTGTGTAACACTGCACCAAGAGGAGGCATTTGATACTAAAACCTATGCCCAATGGTTGTAAGGCCCTGCAACTCGTGTAAGGGCATAAGAAGATACTGTTATTACGTTATCCTTAGTTACTGTTAATGCTCTGCGTGATGGAATTTGGTTGAACTCATTGTCTTCATAAAAAATATCTCTGTTTTCACTTGTTTGCTTTGTTTTCCTGCTGCTCGAGTTTAGTTCGGTACTCTCCGTTCCCAATCTTTCTGCTTCTTTTTCTTTTTCTTTTGCCCTCTCAGCCATCTTTGCTTCCCACATGGCTAAACCATGTTTTGGCTCATTTAAATTTTTGTGTTGGTAGAAAACTAAAGAAATTCTTGTGGGATGATTGCGGTTGGGTTTTTTAATAGGTGTGGTAGCATGGAGTTCACGTCTTGCACATTCAATTAAGATAGAACCATGAGAAGGTGCCACAGCAACCCCACCAATGTCATCATCCAAAAAATTGTGCTCGCTGTCTGACCACATTTCCTCAGCTTTTTCTTCAGAATCAGTCGGTTGTCCCAGTGCACTGTTTTGCTTTTCGTCAATACAGTCAAAATCGCACATCTGTTCTCGATGGGAGCTGCCCTTTTCCATTGGGCATCCATGGGAACAGTCAGCTTCGTTTCCGACTGCATCCTTTGCCGGAGAGCTTAGCGGTACTGACAAATCACAAGAGCTGACCATCTGTGAAGAAGGAGAATTGTCTAACTGAAGCTGACAATTCTGTTTGTCTGGCTGATGTTCAAGTATAGTGGGCAGGGGGTCTTTATGGGCTGGGGGGCCTGGAGCAGTGACCTCTGGAAGAATCGGTGGCACACCATTCATCTTCTCATTCAGCAAAATTCCAGTATAATCTTTGACCGACACACCAAAGTTCTTACAATTAACATAAGGTGTCACGTGAGGTTGCTTACTACTGCATTCAAAATACCCGTAGGGAACTGAAAAATCTTGTTGAATGTTAGTCACTGCTGTTATGCCAGGCTTATGTGCTAAAGATGAATAAGGATGTAAACTATCCACCTGAAAAGGGGAGGAAGCCGTATACTGTTTTAATAAAGAGCAATTTTTAGTAGTGTTTGAAGTATGTTTCATGGCATAGAGGTGATCGGAAGTCTCCGTTTTTATTCCAGGTTTTAAAGCATCTGTTTTGTTTCCTAAAAAAAATGCACACCAAAGTGTAAGTACTTTTCCCCGCTTAGTTAATAAAATATACCTTTTATAATATTTTCCATACTTGCTTTCTAATATGGAAGAGATACATGATGACTACAGATTTTTCAAAATGGTTATTTTTAGCTTTTTAGGAATATCTCTATGACCGTAAGTACATACATAACAACCTTGCTGAATTAACGCCGTTGGTATATAAAGTAGAAAGGTATTTCACAGAGGGATGAATAAAATAAACAGACAAAATGAAATAACCGCTCAGTCCCGATCCTACACAAGTGCTTCCCAGCGGCTGACTGCTGGCCTTCAGCACTGCCTGGGCTAGCAGGAAGCACTACGTACAAGTTTTTACATAATTGCTGAAATTTAGTCTGTCTGAAATTAAGCCTGTGAAACAATCAAAATTCTTGGCTGCCTTAACCCCATATTATGATTGAAGGAAAAAGTGTGTTTACAGATCTTGTCCATTGCAGCAAAAAAGTTACTGAATTACAATGATTCGTGCATTAACAAGTAACTACTCAGAAATTTCCTTAAAAAAAAAAAAGTATCTGGCAACATACTCCAGGTAAATCCATCCTTACGGAGCTGCATCATGTGATTTGGCTGTCTTCCATCTAATTGCCACACATTAATTATTTCAGATCTTTGTGGAGACATACTTGTTCAATTTATGTCAGCTCCCTAATCAATTTCTAGTCATGGCACCCTGCAGTTGTGCTTGTTTGTGGAACAGTCTCCTCAAATGACTCATTCTCCTCACGGGTAAGTTCAATCCAGAGTCCACTGGAGTAATGGGAAAGAATTCCATCGACTTTGATGGGCTTTGCATCATGCCCTGCAATTGCTTTAAATCTGTTTTGCTGGCAAACTGGCACCCCACAGAGAGCTCTCACATATTTTCATAAAAGACCGTCTCTGTCAGTGTTTCTTCTTTGTTCCATAAATACACAGAATGTTTAATTGCTTTACCGAATATAGAAGAACTATTCTTTCTTCTATTCTGTCTTCTAATAATTTATAAATAGTGACGGATTAAAAAACATTCTTTCAATAGGAATACAAAAGAGGCGAAGTGGGATAAATTACGGACACAATAGTTAGTATGCAAATACTGAAGTTGTGGAGGAACATAAGGAAACCGCATCAACTCTTTAAAACCTTTTCTATGAAATCAAACTCAAAGCATTTAATTTAATTAAGAACACCCCCCCAGACCAAGGCCTTCCTCCAAAAGATTTGAAACACAGCACTTGAGAATTGCACTTTCCATCATCTCTGAAGAGAGATCTACGTTCTCTGAAAAAAGTTTTAACAAGCCACAGCACTCTCAAAACAGCCATGGCTCCAGCAAATTCCCCATCTCTTGCCAGAAGCTCCTTGCTCTGCAGGGCAAAGAAGCAGAGATTAAGAGAAGTTAATTCAAATATACAGGCAGAGGGAAATCGGTAATGGTTCAGATAAGGTGGCATCGCTCCCCAGGAATACCTCCTGTTCAAACAGAGTCTGGTGTGCCTCCACTGGGAACTGTTGGCTGAAGTACTACTCTGCTGTGGCCAGCTGAGAAACTGTCTCTAAGTTGGTGCTTCATCTCCTGTTCTATCCAATACGGGCCAAGAAGAATTGCTAGTATTTATGGAGACAAAAATAACCTTTTGTCTGTAAAGTTTATTTGTCCAGGATAATGTGGTTAAATGACAGGACTATATAAGGAAGGATGTAAGGCCTCTATCTTTAATACGCATTTCGTAACAATTTAGGACTTCAAAGGCTCTCAGCATTAGCATAAATGTATAAATTAACAGTTGTGCTGCTTGCTGTTGGCAAAAGGTGCGTGACAAGTGCACCCTATTTAATACAGAGTTTCTACAAAGGACTTGGCACAGTCAAGTGTCAAACCAAGTCTTCACATATGCATGCTCTATCAAGCCGACTTAATCTGTCTTCAGCACTCAGAAGGTCCTCCTCACCGCCATCTTTGCTGCCAGGTAAAGACAGTAAAGAGGACAAGAGAGTCCTCTCTTATCCCTTTTTCATTTCCAGTTCTCCATGTGGTGAAGACATGCAGGTTAGAGGAGTCTCTCAAGCTTTCCAGCCGGGGGATACTGCAATGGCTCTGAAATGACGGTCAGGTCTCTTTCAAAAGAACACACTACATCTACGTAATGGGCAATATGGCACAGCCGGCCTCGTGACTCCTCCATGATCCTCCCAGGCTACTCCAAAGAGCAATAGCCTCACGTGGCCAAAAACACGACTGACGGTATATACCACTGTTATCTCATCTCATTGCACGTTCTCCATATTCTTTTTAATATCTAAAAAGCCAAACCAATAATTCTAAACTCTTGTCCTCAGTAGTAAATAGAGTACTATACATTACATATACCATTTATCAATACCTTTTCCTTTACAGCTGAAGTGTACCTAAGTATTCTTCTGTTCTTACATAAGGAGAAAATTTAACAGTAATATCTGATTTGCTTAACATACCTTTAGCAGTACTTGATTCACTGCTTACCTAAATCTATAGTATTTTTTTTCTTCCCTTAGTTTTTATCTTTTTTTACTATTTTTCAATCCTTTGTCATTTATGTTTAAATGGTGTGACCAGAATTGAATGGCACTATTAATATGAAGGGATCCTGATTTAAATAATCGATTGTTTCCTCTAGTTTACCATCAGGACTGACTACTGGGTAGCCTAGTTTCAACTCCTCTGTCTCACAGGCCCTTTGATTTTGTTTTCATGTTAAGCCTAACAATCTCTGCTAGACGAAAATTTTCCATTCCTTAGGACTAAAATGATACCTGCCACTGGCAAAATGGAAAGAACCAATCAATGACTGATCTGCTATAACCGCAAAAAACTGTATGTACAAGTATAATAACTGTAGTATTCTAAATCCATAACTTACAGATCTTTTCATTTTACTGTGGGTTAGGGGCAGGGCAGCAGTGGTGTGCCGAGGTCTTTACGGTAACACCCAGCCATCGTCCTATATGACTAGAAAACACACATAAATGATGTGCATAAATGCTTCAAATTATTTCTCTCGTGCAGAGCACACCACCTTGCCCTTTGCAAACCTGAACTTCCTCTGCCACTGCTGCCCAGTTAGTGAAGCCTCTTTGAAATTGTTCACATGCCAACCACAGCAATATGTGTAATCAGCAGATTTGGGGATTACAATCTTGACATCTATTTTGAGGGATTCTACTGTCAAAACTTCCATGACAAAACCTGCACTTTTATGGTAGAAACTAAGTATTCCTATTCATATTCTTATTTCTCCATCTCCAAACAATTTTCTCACTCATAAAAGTATTTCTTCCTCACTCTGTGACTTATTTTATCAGCAGCCCTTTTAAATTACTTTACCAAAATACTTCAAGTCCAAACAAATTACGTAAGTTGGCTTGTTTACACAGTTATTTTATTATTTTTGCATGTTCAAGGAATAAAGTTCTATGTTCCCAAAGCATATGGCAAAAGTCTGGATATTGTACCATTTGTTAAAGGCATGGTGTTCGGATATCGAAGCCATGCCTGTTTGTAACTACAATGTCATGTACAGGTAGGCGGTTCTAACTCTATTTCAGTCTTTCAAAACAACGTTCCAATGAGATCAGACAATTTCAGAATTGCTTCCCAAACCAGAGTCCTCTAATGCTTCCAGGACTTCCAGTCCACCCCGAGCACAATGGAAGTTATTAATCATTGCTTCGGAGTTATTGTTGGTCATTGTCCTCAGCCTGAGGAGTCCTTTTAAATTTGTTTCAAAGCCTGGACTGTCTCTCCCAAACTTGCATGTAGATTAACTGAATGTCTAATTTCCAAGGGGTGTCAAAAACACTGCTTTTCTTGTTCTTATTCCATCTTGCTATATGCAAAGCTTATTGGTTGCCCTGACTCCTCTACTGAGACAAAGCAGGGTGCCGAGTGCAAATTACAAAAATGCGTCAAATGGATTTTTAAATTTTATCCCCCCCAAAATGCAGACGTTCTTCTAAATACATTTAACTATTATTCCTCCCCTTAAATCTACTACATGTATCTGGATATCTCTCATGAAATAAAATTCAAAATTATAGCAGGTTGGCTAATTTTCCTCTCTTCTTCCTAAAAGGTAGATAGGCTATGCTTTAATTCCTTTTATTTATTTCTTCCCCTTTAATCACAGAAGCTAAGTCCGTGGCTTCCTCCACCTCTTCCTTCTTTTCCACTTCTCATTACTGCAAAGTCCCATAGAATAGTTCTATCCTCTGACGTACTGGTCCAAAATCAGAGCCCAGGTACAACAGCATAAATCAAAAGTGCCTCCACAGCTCCGTCGAGTCATGATTCTATGTTGCACAAACACATATTGTAGCAGAAGACTCTGGCCACAGTGATGATCTTGTAACAGAACAAACATGGCATACCTTTTACCTGGCTGCTGACAGATTCCACCTCTCTGGCCCTTGCTAATAATATTTCAAGGAACAATTTGAGAAGCACTGTCCTATTTGATAAAACCTGGGGGTGTTTTGCAAATCTCTTGCTTTGCAGCAGTATCCATGCTCTTGGTAGGAAACTGTCATCAACTCAGGTTTTGAGAAAGCCATTGTCTTTCATAGGAAGTGGATAACACAGTTCTTGTACTTTCAAATGACAGAAATTTGTGTCGGCTATTTAGAGAAACGTTCCTACAACAGTATTTTAAGATGATCCTACTGCCATTATTTATTAGAATAAGGGAACTTGGAAATATCTCACTGGTGCTCACACATCACTACAAACTTATTTTTGGGTGATCACCTGGGTTTTTTTCCTGTGCCAAGAGAGAATACTGACTACAATGGCTTGCTCGTTAGCCCCTAAAATGCAGAATATACAAGTATTTTGTAAAACCGAGTACTAAGGAGCTTTTCCTTCCCCTCAGATGGGTAAGAGGCAACACAGTATCGGAAGAGACTGGCAGAATTTACTAAGCACCACTCACCTAAACAATGCAAAGTGTTGCCAAGATTTTCTGGGGCTTCGGTTTTCAGCTTTACTGGTGTTGAGTATTTTTTATCTATTAATGGCTGCTTTTCAGTCGGGGTCCTCCTTGTGTCTGGTTTCTTTTTCTTTGTAGCTCTGAGAGGCTCAGCTAACATTCGTACCTCTCTGGGAAAAGCTGTGAGCACCTGTATGGCTCCGGCTTTGATCTTAGCTTCCAGTCCCTCTTCGGTGCCAAATTCATCTGTTTGTGAAATTTTGTAAAGAGGTAACACATGGAGCTGTTCATCACTCGGAATCACCCCCACTCTCCGGTTATCTTCCTTCGTTAATGTACAGACCTGGCAAGAACAGAAACAAACATTTACAAATACAACCACATACATAAAACACAGAAGTTATTTAAGTATTTAAGCAGTCATCCTAGACTTCATTGTTTTCTCATATTTTATGGCCTCAATGCTATGGGTCTTTCAAATGCAAACATCTGACAAATATTTTGTTTGATTTATGATGATGCAGAAGAATTACTGGTACTTGAAGAGTAAGATCAAGGCACATGTCTTAGACAGGAAAAATGAAACTTTGGCTCAACTTACACTATCCACAAACATATGCCAACCTTGGTAAATAATCTGAGCTGTTAATATACTGTAAATTCCTAAGCATTCAGATTTTTTTTTTAATACATATTTGATGTTCAGATTCATTTTTAAGGACTAAAAAATATGAAAAAAGAAAGTATTATTTTTGGATTGAACAAGAAGTTTCTATGACATGGAACTGTTTTTGTTTTTTGTTTTGGCTGGCAAATAAAAAAACCCAACACAGTTACTCATACTGCTCTGTATTTTTAGCAAATCTCAGCTCTAACTCCCTCCCTCTCTCTTTATACACACTGTCTGAAATTAACACCCTGCCCAACTCTGACTGCCTGCTGTAATGAAGTCAGGAGACCCAGCAAATATTTGGTTTCTCTTAGGCCACTGACCTACTTTCTCTTATTAAATTATGTGTTGTGAGCTACTGGAGCCGAGAGGAGAATGCTGGTTAGATCCAGTTTGATAAGGGCACATCAGAAATGTGGATAAATATTCAAATTTATTGCAACAGTTTTCTTACTATAGTTTTTCCAAATCACTCCTGAACCTTTGCAGTATTTATAATTTCCAGCACTTCAGAGTTCTGGCCATTACTAATATTAACCCTTAAGCTGAAAAGAAGCGCTAAAACCAGCGGTATGCTTGCTGGTTTCATTCTGTGTTTTCCAAGGGATGGCGACAGTTTTACACGCGTGAGCACATGTGCAAACAGTCACGCCATTTATAGTTTTATTGATTACAGTCGTAAGAGGCTACTGGTTTTCACTACATTACTAGAAAGCCATGCATTACTATCATGGCTTAGTTAAGCTGCTGTTTCACAGGGAGCTTCTAACTACACACATATGGGAATCAGAGCGCCACCCAAGGATGAGATGATACTCCTAAACAGAAACGTTATCATTCCATCATTGTGTAGGCTGAATGTGATGCCTATCATAAACAGTTAATCCAATTTCCCAGGATCTTGTCACCATGCCTAACATTCCAGGGGAGAATAATATTATTATTTAGCGGGGAAAAAAAACAAACAATTTTTATTTTATAGCACAGCTTTCACATAAAGGCATCACACAATTATTTCCAGAATAATGAAATTACAGAATCACAAACTAAAAATCCTAAATCAATAAGGTGGTGGTTAGGGCTTTACAAATAGCTATATGCAAAGCTTGACAGTTGCAGAGCAGCAAAAGGAGAAAATTTGAGGGGCACAGACAAAGGAGAAGAGCTTTTCAGGTGGCATTTTGAAAGGATCGAGAGAAGGGCTCTTAAGAAGGCAAAGTGAAGGGGCAATTAGAAGCTGATGAGTAGCGTTTACCGATGTGCTTGCTCCATGCGTACTTACCTCTACTGGGCAGCCTTTGGACTACGAGGAAGATTTAGAAAAAACAACAAGTTGTTCCATGAGCAGCGAATGACGCCTGGTTCCCTATGGACATCTCTGTCCCCGCGCTCCCACACGCCCAACCCCAGCACCGTTATCCCTGCTCCCCTGTGTGCCCTGCTACCACCTCTGCTGGGCACCAGCCAGCGGAAGCAGGGCCCGGCTGAAGCCCAGTGCCTCCCGGCTTCCAGGCCAGCAGGTGCATGCGGATTAACCTGGGTCCGCAGCTGCGAGGACCCTGCCGCCTCCTCAGCGGAGGAGCCTACCTGCATCTGTCTCCCCCACTCAGCAGTGACATTCCACAACTTGGAACAAGAGGTTAAAAATCTCCAAAGACAATTAAGTTTCTGCAAAGTTCAGTGAAATCTGGTTGAAATTTGCCAGCAGATTCCAAATTATTCAGGAAGGGTGAAAGAGGGTAGGACATATAGAGAGCACAATTACATATGACTCATGTTCTCAGAAAGCCCCTTCTAAATGAAAAACAAAAGCAGTAATCAAATAAGCATGGAGGGGCCTAGCTCCCACTTGTTCACATCAGAAACTACGTGATTCTCACTTGTCTTTTAAAATATTCTGTCCATCCTGTGCCTGGACCCATGCACTAGTCTGAAAAATGTCCAAATCTCGAAGATTCAATCCACAATCTTGCTTATTTTGAAAACTGAGACCCTCATCCAATTTACAGTTCTAAGTTTTCATGCATTTCACCAGACACTTTCATGGAAAACTGATCTTGTATATTTATTATTTATTCTTTTCCTTAAAAAGATTTACTCTTAGAAATGTATTAATCATCTTTCATCTGACTTAAAATTAGGCAAAGGTAGATTAGCTCTACATTTTTACAATGCTTGCCCCAGGGGAGAGCATACAAGCAGAGACAAAAATCAAAGCTCATACTGGTTGAAGGAAAACCTATTTTAAGCAAAATCGAGTATTTATCACTATCACAAAGCCAACAAAGCCTCTTTAGAACAAGAAAGCTAAAGACCTGTTTTGAGGAACTAAAGAAGATGAGGGCTGCAGTATATTGGCAGAACTATGTTGAAAGTATAGTCAACTCCAACACACACAATATATTAAATACTGAGTTAGAATACATAGAACTGAGACATTCAAGTATATTAAAAATTGTGTTAAAAACCTGAAGACCAGTACACCTACAGCCTCAATACAGCAAATTTAATAGATGCAAAATTTCAAGGTCAGTGTTGCCCATAATGTATTTCAATATAAAAGGAAGGACACAATGGCAAGTGGGTAACTGCAAAGTTAATGTTACGGGGAAACCAGCTATGAATTAAGGCCCTAGAGATAAGCTAGCAATTTACAGCTGAAGTAGAGTAATCCACCAAATGAGAAACATCCATTTCAAAAGCCAGTCTAATATTCAAATCTGTGCAAAATATTCCATTAGGAAACTTAAAGAGAAGCTATCGCTGAGAAGTCAAAAGCAATATTTTCCATCGGTACTGATACTGTGCTGCAAACTGACCAAAATGAAACCTGAACATGAGAAAATCATGGACTCTGTTAAAGCCCATTTACACAGTGAAGCTGCATATCCTGCTACTCTAAATACTTTGTCCAGAACATGCAGCTAAATCATCCAGGATGCTCAAAAGCCAAAGGAAATGTTGGCCAAGTGGTTTGTTTAGTTTTCCAGTGTGCTTGGTGATCAAAACCATTACCTATTCTGGGTTTAGTCATGTCATGGTACATCTTGCATATTCGTAAAACTTTAAAAAAAAAACCAAACAAAAAACAAAACAACTTAAAACGCACTCATGAACTCGGTGTAATTCCCTCCCCAGATCTGCAAAGAAACATCCATAGCCACACAGCTCCCAGTGCATTATTCTGGGACTCTCTGATCTGCCTTTGTGCTCTTGAACTTCACATGTAGAAATTATGTAGCCTTTTCCACTATGTCATAAGAACAGATGTTTTAAATTCAAGTTTCAGCAAAGCAGTCAAACAGCCTTTCTAAACTTGAAAGATAGAATCAAGTTTCCTATACTCATCTTCCCTCAGCAGACAGAAAGCAGTGGGTGCCATTTGGGACTCTGAGGTGCTGCTGCATCATCATTGCTTACCATTACAAATACGGACAACGTTGCTTTTCCTTTATAGCTGGGACAAACTGTGTCGTTTTATTGGCCTGTTATTCCCTGAGGAAGTGTGCGTAAGTCTGAGAGTCAGAGAAGGGAACCCCAAACGTACTTTCCATTTGACCACTACAGAGACACATAGGAAGCGTCAACAGACAGCATTTCTGTACCGTATGCTGTAACATGGGTATGACACACAAACCACTGCCTGGGAGCTTGCAGGTTAGTAGAGTGAACTTCTAATGTTTCTCCATTTTCACAATACAAAGAACAGTAACAAAAATCCTTCCTTTACAGCCCTGTGGGGTTTATCTTTTCTATTTATTGTAATCTGAACCACCGATTTAAGCCTCTAGTGCTTCTGTAGCTCACAGAACAAGCTGTGGACATGGTCCAGAATGTAGTCTAACCATTCACAGAGACATTCTGTCATTTATTGCAAAGGCCTGGACCTATATGCAATGACTTGATGAGGTATAACTACAGAAATACAGTAAGTTATTGGAAGAGCAGAGGATTTTTTTTTTTTTTTTTTTTTTTTTTTAAATAAATCGGGAACAGTTTGTTGATGGATCGCTGGTTGACACTACTTAGTTCTGCTGCCAATAATAAATTTTATATTGTAGCTGCCCTTGGAGCATAGATTTATCTTCCTCCCCTTCTTCCACAGTGCCTGCTACAGACTGTGTGGCACCAATGATTACACATAATTGCAGCTGGTCTCTCTTCTTCCTCAACCCCAGCAAAAAGGGCAACGTGCCCCCTAGGATGAGAAACAGCCATATACATGCTACAGAACTAGCGAAGTCTTCGTTAAACCATTTTGTTCTAGTCACTGTAAAACCCCATATGTCAGTGATTTAAATGGATTCACACAGGTATGAAGAATGTGATCCTTTGCAGCCAATCCAATAAAGAAACAAAAATACTTACAGACTCCATTAATAACTATAAAGCTTTTATTTGCGTGTTGCTCATTTACAGTCTAGCTTCATATCCACAAGGAACACTGCACCCTAACACTGCAGTTGTAACGTACATCAGTGGCCCTTAGGAGAACGTTAAAAGATGACAAAAGAGTCTGAGTAAAAATGGATGGTATATTTATTGACTTAAAAGTTCTTAAAAAACTCAATTCATAGGCAGAAATTACTTTTGCTTCTTTCACATAAACATGTTAGTTTACACCTCTGTAGAATTGCCAAGCGCTTTCATTCTACTACAGAGCAAACAGGGAATATTCATTTTTATTTTTAGCTTTTCTACCAAAAAAGCAGCTCTGCTAAATTCAGGGCGCATTTTTGCTAGCCAGAAAAGATGTTCAGCAAATCAAGTCTCCTACGGTAATCCCCAATTTTTGTAAGTTAAGATGTACTATGCTGTCTTGTATCTACAGAAGACATTTCCAAAACATTTTTCCCCCCACTGCTAACAAAAATGACAGCCTCGTTTATTTTCAGAGTCACATACAAATCATGCAGCTGATCATCAAAACATGCATACCCAGAAAAATACAAGAATGCTTTTCTGAAATTCTGGCAGAGACAGAGCAAGGAAATTGTTATTGGCAGCTCATGAGACAATATATTCTTTTAAGTATACAGTATACTCCATGCTTATCATTAAACTCATTTAAGTGCTTTGCTGTACTCATGTCTGTGTCTGGTTTAAATAATTTAAATAGATTCTGTTTTTTCCTTTATTGTCGGTGCACTGTGCAGCATTCCTTTCATATTTGTGGTAAAAGTGATTCACCAACAACTGAAGGGAGAAAATGAAAAGGTGTCATGCCGTAAGTAGTGGTGACAGAGCTGGCAGCATTTACAAATACCATCTTCTAAGGTATTTATTTTAACCTTTTTAGTCTAGAGGAACTTTAGGTTTTATAAATTAAGATTTTGTGTCAGAATAAGAAGGAAGGGAAGAAATCTTACCCACACTAACAAGGTGCAAGATGACAAGTACACTTTGTACAGACTTTAAACTGTAAAGTGTGACTACCATTTAAAAAAATCAAATAAACAAAATACAAGAGAAAAATAGTAAATAAAGTTAGAGATGTTTGAGGTTTGTAAGGCAGTGCAAATCATTCTCATTCTGCTTCTTACCACATTATCAGAAAACAATCATCTATATGACAGCTGTCACCTCAGTTAGATATATTACTTGCACGTAGTACATTTTACAGACAAAATATGTCATAGTTAAGATGTAAAAGACTCCTCCATCATTATTACCAGTGTTCTGTAAGAAATCATAGTGTATTTTAAACTAAGTAGGTAGCCAAAGCAGCTTCTGGAACTAGATGGGAATGCAGGAGGTGACCAGACAGAGGCTAGAATCACACGCAGTAATTTATTTTCGTGTTCTTACCACTAGCTTTCCTATTTTATTAACACATTTGGTGGTAAGCTAAAATTAACAACCCTAATTTTGATCATCATCAAACTGATCCAGATTGAAGAAAGCCCAGCATGTCCTAGCACCCTGTTTGCAAAACAACAAAATTCTTTGCTTTAGGCTTCCACTACGTACCACTGTAACTATACACCCAGATAGGACATACAGAGTTTGCTGTCTGTCAGTCTACGAATCACACCCATTATCTTCTCACTGTGAAGGCTGTATATAGATCATTAGGTAACTCTGAAGTCTAATTCACCTTCCAAATGCCCCAATTCAAGTACATAAATTGAGTGTTAATACTTGCAACTATTTCCTATTTATATATAGCCCTTTGTTGCAAGTATATTAATATAAAGAGATATCAAATCTAAATAAAGAGAATTATCAGGTATGCAATAGTTATTTGTATGAGTGAGCTATCTGATGAAAATCAGATTCCAAGGTATAGTTTTCTGCAGTTATAATGATTTGATAATGTTCTGCAAGACTTACAAAACTTGGCAGAACTTGATAGAAAAACAATTTTAAAGTTCTGGCCTACATAATGAGATACCTGACACAGGTCATAATTTTCCATGCAGCTTAGATTTGGAATTACTTACAAATACACCACGTACAATCCACAGAAAGAAATATCAACACTAGCAAGCATAACCTGAAGCTGAAATAACATCAGATGATTACAGATAAATACATGTTCATAGAACTATTCCCCAGTAAATTCCTCAAAAACAAGGGCTAATTGTCCCTCCAGCCACTTCTGGTCGTAAGTTACGACTTTTCTGGGATCCAGTATGACAGAATGAGCAGCAGACTCAGCTTCCATTTCATTTTGTCTTTAAGTTAAGAGGCAATGTAGCACTTAACAAAATATTATTCTTTTTGGAATGCCTAAATTAAATTTCATTAAAAAGTATACCATGCAGTTTGTTATAAAAAGGAAGTCTCATTTTCAAATTTGGGATCTTTAAGAGGTTTGAATTCCTATGCTTCAGAAGCTTTGAAGTGACTGTACTTACACGAGCTTACTCATAGCATCTTACTAATATTTTGCAAAGTACGCTTCCAGCATTTTCTTGTAAAATATCTGCATATAAGTGGCATTCAATGCTAGGAAAAAATATTAATCTATTCAGGGCTGGCATTCCTGGTGAATTCCGAGACCTGCTTCCATACTTTAAAGCAGCAGCCATTTGCCCAACATCCAAGCACACCATTAATATTAAGCAATTGTTCCAGTCATTTCATTGCTATTACATACAAATGCTAAGTGTTAAGTATACGTGTAAATGCAACATTTTATTCAATCACAGCAACATAATAATTAAATTCTCATTTCCAAATTAAGAAAAAGACTGTTTCTAAGCAGGCAGAGATTTTAGATGGATTTCTTTTTTCCAGATATGCATCCTTTGGTAGAGAAATTATTCTCGAATGTTACCTCCACTGATGTACAAGAAGTCATCTTAGCTATTTTGAGCGTTACAATGCTCTAACTACTAAAAAACCCCAGATTGTCAGTTTTATTTTATCTTTTCTCTTCTGAGATTGTCTTTCTTCACAACTATGGTCTCAATTTCTAAAAGATCACTCAACTGAGTAATTCCCAACTTATTTTCTCACTAGCAGTCCAGCAAAGTATCCAATACAATGACCACATCTAAAAAAAACACATCTGTGGGTTTTCCTTTCATACTGAGACTTAAAAGATCGTAATAATCACCTGACTCCACCACCTACCCCACGCTCTCATACTCTCTACTTTCTGACTAGTAACTATACCAACATGAAGCCTGGTAAGCGCACAGTGCAAGAAAAAGTGAATTTGATGAGAACTGAGCCTGGGGGAGGTAAATTAATAATGAGTTTGCTTTAGCTCTTACTCTACAGAAATCCATACAACTCCTGGGTTAGATAATTATTTGCCTTTGAACATCAAACCTCTACTGTGAATAGCTTATCTGTCCTATGGCTGGTCCTCTCCAAAGGGCCTGGGTGTCTTAAAAAGAATTAAGGTGTTTTGTAGGCAGGATCACTCCCATACCTTTCTTGATCTGTTCTGTAATAGGATGAAGTTATGTCCTCTTGTGGACCAGTAATAAATAGATGCAAACAACATGGGAATTTATAAATAGGAACATGCAGTTAATTTCATAATACCTTAAAAAACTTCATGCAAACGTACCCACTAAATCAAGCAGCATTTTAAAACACACAGTAATCACAACAGTAAACAGTACAAATGAGAAAATCCCATGTACATACCACAGTGCTTCCATTGTGCATGTTATGTGTGTCCTTATGGGCATGGGCACAGAAATCTATGCAAGCTGTTACACCAGAGAAAGGCCTACCGTCCTTGGATCCAAGCCGACAGTCTGGGCCCATGTGTTCATTTTCCACCTAAAAGTAAAATAAACTACAGGTACTTGGGACTGAAAGTGAGTGACTTGGAACCCCATGAGCCACAACTGCGCTTGTGACGGAATAAATGCAGACAGTAAGAATGATCGGAAAGCATGTGTTTTCCTATGAAACACGCAATGCTTAGGACAGGATGTCAATGAGATAATTGGCTCAGCCAGAGTCAAAATGTCTTTAAATAATAAAAACATTTTATTTACAGTATGATCTGTAAGCCTTCTACATATGCACAGCTCAGGGCATAACTTAACCATCAGCTGAAATAAGAAAGATGCAGTATTTTAAAACTAACCAAATAAAGCAACCACTGTAAGCAAGTAAGGGGATTCACCACATCTGTGAGGTCTGCGGCTTCTACCCATGAACATACTTTGGGGTTTCACCTTGTTTTCAAACTAAGCTGCCTGTTCAGAGCTACAGCTACACTAGCTGAATGTCACAGACCTACCTGGTTCTGGAAAGCTTCAGGAGCAAGCTTTTTATAAACCGGAGCCACATCAGTAGCTAAAGTTTGCAAATTATTTTCAAGAAGTTCCTCCTGCAGAGAAAGGCAACATTTAGAGCGCTGTAATTTGCTTTAAAAGAATCTAATCCAGTTTAGAGATGCCTGACAAGTCAGCCTCTGTCTTATATGTTATTAATCTGACTTCTGTTCTGCTGCCCTTTGTCACCAACCATAAATAAGCCTCCTTTGCATGACTATAATACCAAAATTGTTAAATATAAGTCAACCAAATAACAATGGAGGATATCTGCTGGGGCAAAGAAACCCAACACACAAGGAACTAATTTCTGTATCATTTCCCGCTTCCTATACATAGACAGTCAAGGAATGAGGTATGTTCCACACAAAATAGATAAGTAACATCTAGGAGAGAAAAATTATACCACATTCTGAGGGGAGATGGAACTCCAGGTCTTCTTTTAGGGTTTTGCTTATGGGGCCTTAATTTATGTCAATACAGCCCTTCCAAAAGAATCCTAGGTTTCCACCTTCTTTTCTTTTAGTCATATGAGTAACTCCCAACAGCATTTAACATTAATTTCAGCTCTTAGGGGAAGAGGTATGTTTCTAACATTGGAACAGAACTCTTATCAGGAACATTTGATAAATATTTTGTTCTTTGGAGGTGTAAAACTCATGACTTTATGGAAATATCTACTAGATTAGGAAGTAATATTCCTTTCCTTGGAGTAAACCATATAAACATGGAACTAGCTAGGTGGGCTCATGTGGCAGTGTAACATTTAAGCTCTTATTTATAGAAACAATCCCTAAATTCTTTTCCTAAATTTTTGCTTTTCCAGGAAAGTCACCAACCAACTGGGGAAGAAAAGGGTGGTGACATACTCCCTACTTTGTTTTCCTCCAAGGGCCAGGCTTGGAGAGACAATCGCGGCTTCAGTTTTGCATACCGTATAGTGGCAAAAACCAACAGCTTATTTTATTTTGTTTAAAAAAAAAACCCAAACAACAAACCCACACTTATCACCATATACTGTAAACACCAATGTATATAAACATAAGGATACTTTCACATTCTTCAGTGTGGTTACATTACAAAAGTATACTGTATTTTTAACTCATACTATAGCCAGTTTATCAGCTGTTGATTGCTACCACAAGTTTTTGTGAACTGCATTGAAGGTAATGCATCCTTAATTATCTATCCTATGTACTATTCTTACCTAGGTATATTACACCCTTAACCTCATCTCACTCCATCCAGTGCCTCAAATGATCCAAATCTTTCTGGACTTCGAACTATCTTCTTAATTTGCTATACCTCCTAGCTTTATGTCATCTGCAAAATCATCAATATCCAATATTTAGCTAAAAGAAGTATCTGCTAGAAAAATTAATGACAAAACCAAATGAAGAGAAAAATTATTTACCAGTAATTTCACTTCTTTGAGGTGCACTGACAACCTGCACACACACACTGCAGTGCCCAAGCACCACTGTCGCCTACAGCTGGAGGCTTTTTGCACAACAGTAGGCTAAGGGTACACATGCTTCCCTCACAGGCACACACAGTTATGGAGTACCTGTGTGCTGTGCAACCCTCATCCCCTCTCAGCTGCAGAATCCAAAGAGGCTTTAAAACAACTTCCATGGAAAAGGAGAAATAAAGGGAATGCACTTTTACATCACACATCTAGAAGATGTCCTGGTTAAGTAATTTCTCTGTTAGGCAACTGCCTTTACACTGTGATTGATAGAAGGCATTCTCCTCCAAAAATTTACAGGTTACCTGTCAAGTGAACAGGCAATGCCAGACAGCGTTGGGTATCATTTCTAGATGCTGCTGTGAATGCCGTTGTGCTTGACTAAGTGTCCAAATGGAGCTCAGGGTGGTCATTTCACAGACTCAGAGGAAGTGATGCCACCAACAGAGCTTGCAGTCTCACAGAGCGCATTCTGATGAAAGACAGATCTATTTGAGCTCTCTCATAAGAGATCTGGCACAGCCTAGACAGTACATATGAAGGTTGCTGCCTTTGTTGATTCCGCACCTAATGTTATTAAAAACATTAAAAACCTTCAGAGAAAACACATGCACAGAATGCTCCATGCACAGCATTACACAGGGGGAGAACCTAAAAACACAGGATCACAGAGAATAGAAAAGGACAAAGGAGAAGGAACAGGATTCCTGAAATAAAAGAATGCCCAATAAATACATTTTCCTATAAGCTGAAAATTTATAAAACAAATTCCCTCGAGACAAGCAGGGCTATTTTCAGCTTGTACTGCCTTAGTCCTGTATTCAGTGAGAAGAAGGGCAGAAGGGCTGTGCGTGCTCCATTCTGCTGAGGCAGAAGTTCCCCACTTCAAGCGCTAATAAAGTTTGTGAATACCCACAATGCGAGTGGACAGCACAACTCAGCAGAGATTGAGGGTTTTGTGTTCATGCACATATGCATAAAAGATGCTTCATCAACTCTTTCAGGAAAAAATTGGGACTTGGGAGGAATGTTTAGCTCCAGTCAATCAACTGACATCTCTCTCTTCCAAGAAACAATGTTTCACGTTGTGTGTACATACGGATGTGCACACTACACATTAAAAAATGCAAGAATACCTCTGCTACTGTCTGGACTTCAACCAGCTAGGTCTTTTCTGTAGCTGGCAGCAGTGGAGTTCAGGAGCCGAGAAAGATTATTGGCAGGGTAACCCAAATGGAGAACTAGGTAACTGACTGCCCTACAGTATATGTCTCTTAAAGCATGCCAGATGTGCTAGTAAAGATGTGATACTTTTATCTAGGAGTTCCACAGGGAAGTGGGATTAGAGACATCTACAGTCAGAACAAAAGGCACTTTCCAGTTACCCTGAGGCATATATGTTCATCAGGCAGCTGTTGTCAGTTTACAATGCCTTTATTCCTTCTTCACATAATTTATTTGTGCGTACCTTTATGTGACGTACCTTTATTCTTACTTCACATAATCCATCACCGTATTTTCTGTGCTATCTCGCTTTATGTCATCACTAACACTCATAAGCAGCAATTACAGTATCATTTCACTGCATCATATTTTAGTGTATTCATTCCTTCAAGAGTGTTTAAACAACATGCTGTCCACAGAAAAACCAGTTTATTCTAGGTGGCAGACAGAAGACCAAGTTGTCAGCTGGTCAGACAGCAGTGTGAAAGCAGTGCAACAGAAGGTGCAAAATTTTCTATGACAAGGCAAAAGGACTGAATCTCTGAGGTGCAGCCTTGGCGCTTAGAAAAACCTTTAGCTGCATTTTATACTTACAAAGAATTAACATTTCATACAGAGTTACACAGTGGAGCTACATATGCATACAGAAAAGCATTTAAGGATAATTTTAGGGTATTTAAATACATAGTAAATGACACTGAGTTTTCATACAGTGGAAGAATTACAAATACTAGTTACAAAACATTTATTTGGGTGCCTGTGTGATAAGCTATGCATACATGTGCGAGAGAGAAGGGGTGGATATCTGTAGATTTCATTTCTAGTTCTGAAAATCATCAGAATAAGTATTTGGAGGAAAACAAAACAGTAAAATAAATAAAATAAATCTTACTTGTTTAGGGTCATCAGTGAGAAGCCTGAATTTCCTGGGGTTTTTGCTTCTGGCAAACTTACAGCCATTGAAATACATACTCCATGAACAGCCAAATGAGAATGACGCTCCACAAGTTTCTGGATCAAGTCCTTGACATGCACAAGTACGACTATGAAAGGAAATAAAGACACAGCAAGTCAGCTGACAACGCAGCTCTTTTTTTTTTGTCAATGATATTTGCTATTTCTTTTATAATACATAGCATAACAACACAGGAATTTATAAAATACATGGTTTAACCAGATCTTTTGTTAAGGAAATATTCATGTGTAGAGGACTGACTTTTTTCCCCATAAAGACAGTCTCAACTCCCCAAAGTCGCACTTCTGGGAAATACGTAACACTCGGTTATAGCTATTTAAATATACCCATGCTACTTTGATTTTGACTTCTCCAGTTGGATAAAATTTTTATCCAAGAAAATACCACTGCTACTAAAGGTTACCCCTAAATTTTTGTGTTATGTACAACAATACCATTTACCTCCAAATTGATCTAACTTTCAAAGTGGAACAACTCTACTCAGCACAATCCTTTAAGAACACAAGCATTAGATTCAGGTCACTGTACAGTTATTAGTGTCTGTTAAATGTGGGCTACACAAAAATCAGCACAAAGGCAGTACCGCTCCAGAGCTGCAGATGCAATGCATCATCTAGTCAAACTAAATTCCTCTCAGAGGCACAGAGAGGAAGATCCTAATTTGGAGTGTTCAATCTCTCATTTATTTAAAAAAGTCACATACCACCTTCTTAGCAGCTCTTTAATACGGCCATGTGTGCAAAGGGCACACTGACTGTCTTTGGGCAGCTTGTACAAAGCCAGGGGAGAAGTTCATTGCCACCCCTTTCCCTAGGTGTAGCGTGTACAACTATCACTTAGAGCCTGGACTCTATGAAAAGCCAGGAACTAAGTTTTATACTGAAATGACACCTAGTGGTTTGTAGTTTTAAATGAGCTTTTGTATATTTATTTTATTAGTCAAACTACTGAAATCTCAAGTTATTTATTGCAGAACATTCAAAAGGCAACACAACAATCATTTACTATTAAAGTAACTTACTCTTCATTTAACGCACATCTACGGCTGGTGGGACAGCCATATTTTCTGAGACTCTGCGTCAGTTCTTTGTACAGCGTATCAGCCAGGAGATGAGGGATCCCTTCCCAGGCCAGTATGAGAATCACTATGACGGCAGTTTGGCAGTGGTGTCCTGCACGCTGACGTACCAAGCACAGCAACTTTTCCTCATCGCTACTTCTTCGTATCACCTGGAAGAATCATTTCGTTTATTCTTAGATAAGCATAGGAAACACGTAATGCGTTACTCTTCCCTGGGACACGTAGGGCCTGGAAGAGTAAGAAACACTGCTGCCCAGAGAGTGTCCATCAGCAAGCAGGACTGGAACAGCATCACACACTGATCTCGTGTAGAACATGATTTTGCGTTGCCTTTTTACCTGTAGAAGAAATAGCAGTACATTTTTACAGGAGGAGGAATGTTTTAGGTGTTCTACACAAACAATAAAGAAGATGGATTAAGAGGAAAATAACCACTAGAAGGAAATAATAATCCTGAGACAACAGATCCACTGCAAACCTAACAGTTACCCTGAAAATAATACTGAAAACATATCGCCAAAACCCAGAATGCAGGTACATAAAAGCACATCACAAAAGCACATGTATACATGGGTTAGGATGGTTACCAGTTACATGTCAGTACATAAAATGGTTCCCACCTTGCAAAGTAAGATTAGAAGAAAGTGATGAAAATAAACTGTGTTCTTAGTAAAGGAAGCAGTGAGATTTTTCAGAACACATCCCTAAACAACCTACACTAAAGTTCTTAGCAGAATGCTGAAGTTTTTACTAAACTGTATGATAGACAAAGCAATCTTTGTCAACCTTATCCATAAAACACAAAGACTAGCACAATATGGAATAGTACAGTACATCACTGAACTGAAAAAAAAAAGAAAAGAAAAAAGCTAGACAGTCCTACTCCCACTTATTTAGGTTTTTATCACAATCTGAAATGGAGTTGCATCGTAAGACGACCAAAAAAATGCATTAAAGCTAGGTAACACAAGAACATCATCTTTGAAAATATGTTTATCTATTCTTCAAATGTGTTTTAGCCAGTATAGTCTGTACGAGGCCTCCAACAGAGGTGTCAAGACCTCAGCATTAAGCTTCAAACATATTAGGCCTGGACCTCTCTCAGGCACCAGAGGCTAAATCCTCTTCCTCGGCTCTGTTGTACATAGGATGGGGACCAGCAAGTCTCTCTTCCTCACAGTGTGCTGATGGCAAGCCCTTACATTGCAGATACTCTCTGCCAGCTCCGTAGCAATACGCTTGCTCAGGGCAAGCAGTTGGTCACCCTGGCTTTCCACCCAACACCCCCTCTCCCATCAGCAGAACTCCCATAGACATGTTACTAGTCATGGATTATAAAAGCAGGAAGGCAATGGAGTTTCACTTACTCTTTGAATACCTCCAAATATCTGAGTTTTCATGCAGATTCCCTATTGGACTGACGTCAAAGCTTCCTTGTTGCCAGATATGCAGCTGTCATTCATATCTGACCCCTAGCCTGATCAGCTGTAAATAACTAAGTTATTTGAACTCATTAAAAGTGGGGACCAAAGTATGCTTGCAGTTAATCCGCAAATGAAAAGGTTTTCAATAGATGAAGAGTTTCAGAGAGAATCTATGCAGGCTTAATAGGAAGAAGCAATCTTAAAGTTAGTTTGTGTCAAGAGAGAAAGTGTCACCCTTCTAAAGTTAATCATAGTCACAATCAGCCTTAAGCTTAAATGAGAAAACAAGCAAATGCATCCAAGATACCATTCCTCAAAAGGAGTCTTGGTTGTGACTGACCAACCAGTACAGTCTTTTTAATAAAGAAAGAAAAATAATGCAACTCATTTACATTTGAGTGAGGTTTACAGAAAATCTATTATGGCTGATATACAATACATGTTATTCATGTCAGTGTGAGTTTTACATTCCTGAGGCAGCACAGTTCCTTCAAGTCAGAAGGAGAAGAATTTAATTTTTTTACTCAGCATGAAGGGTGATGCTTTTACTCTCTTTTCCGTTTTTGGTTTCTAGACTGTAACTTCAATAAAGAAACCTGGTACCTCTTAGTTTCTCAGTACAACATCAGGTTGCCCTTTCTGAGTTCTCATATAGTTCTAAACTGGAAATACACAGCCCAGGAGAAATGACAAATGGACAGGAAGGAAATTTATAGTTTCCTTTAAACTAACACCACACATCCCTGGAGTTAAACATAGCTGGAATTTGCTTCATTATGCATGCAGTAGAGAATGCAATACTCTTATTGGACCCAAAAACAGTTTATAATCCATCATCTTTCAGGCCACAAAGGTAGCTAATGGATTTATTAGTTGTCTGAATTTAATTTCTGTGGCTCTTAAGAGGTTACATCGTACGCTCATTTGACTACTACAGCTGGAGTGCTCCCATCTTTTTGTTACCAGAGAAAAGGCACTTTTCTCACCTGACTGTTACGGTCTTAGAAGAGCACAGCTTGCACCAAAACAATCATGGTTCTTCCGGGCCTGCAGCCAGTGACAGTGCAGACAGAGCTGGAGCCATGTTGCTTTTCCCATATAAACTGATGATGCCCCTTCACATGCTATGACTGACATTCTCAAAGCAGTAATAAACACAGCCTCTCATTTGTAATAATAATAAATTTGTAGCAACACCACATGCAATATACAGAAAAACACATTTGAGCAGGACAACTGAAAACTATGGAATAAATCCAGCAGACAGAAACACCATGTCATTCTTGATGATTTAACAATTTTTCTAGTGTGGGAAACTGCCACTGCAGTTGTGGCAGTTGGACTTGGTGACTTCTTAGTTACATTAACACTGATGTAACTCCGTTAATTTCCAACTTGTCATTTGTTTTCCAGTGCCTGACTACATCAAATAAATTTTTGAACTCTACAATAAATTATATGTATATTGTATTATAAGTATATATATATAAAGCAAAAGTAAAACTGACTGCATTTGCTTATGTTACTAAACTTGTGGTTATCCGAGTAATTGGTACAATCCAAAATATGACTACAAACTGCGTACCGCTTACGAAGATTTTGCCTGATGTGCTTACAGATCAGATTTCTTACTGTGTTTCTAAGTAATGGACTTAGTAAGGCTTTAGTTGACCAATCATTTCTTGAATTACTCTTTAGTTGTCTCCAGTTTATTTCTTTATTTCTATTCCAGTTTCTGCAGCTTGAAGTTACTGGGGATGGTTCCAAGATCTTTTCACCCTTAAACATCCCCAAACCACACAGTGTTTTAACCAATCGCTCCCCCCTGCCTCCCTTTACTTTATGGAAACATCACACTTGTTAAGTTCATACAACAGCAACACCGTCTTAATGATGTCATCAGGAGAGTAGCATATATAAAATCTCAGCCTACACTTTAGTTCACTTTATTCTTTTCTTTTCAGCATGCATTTGACACAGCGTCCTCCTCAGTAAGGCAAATGGAATTAGTATATTGTCACAGCCACAGAGAATTTGCAGATGACACCAAGCTGAGTGGTGCGGTCGACACGCCAGAGGGACGGGATGCCATCCAGAGGGACCTGGACAAGCTCAAGAAGTGGGCCTGTGTGAACCTCATGAGGTTCAACAAGGCCAAGTGCAAGGTCCTGCACCTGGGTCGGGGCAACCCCCAGTATCAATACAGGCTGGGGGATGAAGGGATTGAGAGCAGCCCTGCCAAGAAGGACTTAGGGGTACTGGTGGATGAAAAGCTGGACA